CTCCGTCCCCTCACTCCCCCTCCGTCCCCTCTCTCCCCCTCCGTCCCTTCTCTCCCCCTCCGTCCTCTCTCTCTCACACACTCTCTCACACACTCTCTCACTGTCTGTCTCTCTCTCTCTCTCTGTGCAGGGCCCTCAGGGGGAGCCCGGTCCTGCAGGTCAGCAGGGAATCCCAGGACCTCAGGTAGGTCAGCAGCAGGTGAAGGGGCACCGTTTGTGAGTGCAACCGAGTGGAGGGGAATGGGAGAGGGGGGACGGGAAGGAAGGGGAGAGGACATGGTGGGATGGGACGGCACAGCTGGTAAACACAAGGGTAGGGGGAGAATAGAGGTTTAGGGAGGGGGAGGGAGGGCTGGAGGATTGTGAGATGGTACAGGGGGTGAGGGGTGGGGGGGGTGCGGATGGAGGTTAGTCAAGGTGGAATGGAGTGGGATGCGTGCAGTTGTGGGAGACGGGAGGGTATGTATAGAGAGGTTGAAGGGCCAGAGGGGAGTAGAGGGGTGGTAGGGGAGTGTTTGTTTTGGGGAGGAGTGTTTGGTGACCTGACCGAGTTTGGAATATCAGGCTGAGCACCTGCAGCAACTTGATCAGGTTTCTCTGAAAACCCAATAACTCACTCCGTTCCAACCATTGCTGTGTCTCCATTTCCTTCTTTTGTGTTTATTTAAAATTCAAAGAGTGAAGTTTTATTGAAACTGGGACAGTGCCAGATCTGAGTGAACTCTCTCAGAAGCCGAAACGACTGTTTTAAATAAACTCCAGTCTGAACTGATTCAAAACATTTCTCCGTCTCTGTCTCTCGCAGGGTCTCATTGGGCCACAAGGTACCATTGGCCCCCCAGGACCCAAGGTAAGGCTGAACCATGGCCACTTGCTGTTCCCAGGAATTCTGCCGCATTGTGACACTCACAGTCTCGATCTTTCCCAACGATGTCTGTCTGAAAGCTGCAAACTCTCTACCTTTTGTCTTCCAGGGCCCTCCCGGTAAACCTGGGTTACCAGGCCTTGCAGGAGCTGATGGGCCTCCGGTAAGTTACCAGCATCCTCCCTGAGGGACAGACCCCCTTAGCCCCCTCACAGAGGGCTGCCGTAGGTGGCTAGTCAAACCCCAGCACGTTTTGTAGCTCTCCTTTCAAACTGTACAAACTCTTCACAAATCCAACGTCCCGTGTGAAATCTGAAATGGAGGTAAGCACTTTGTCTGCTTTGGGAAGCATTGACCTGGAATTGTGTGTCTCCTCAGGGCCACCCTGGTAAAGAGGGACCAGCTGGAGAGAAGGGTGCTGAGGTAAGATCTGAACACAGAGCCTCTCCCTGTTTGCCCCATCTTGATTTGTGCTGAGTCTGCATTTGAATGGAGCCTGTTTCCTAATCATACACTTTCTACATCAATGTTTTAGGGCTCCACAGGGCCACAGGGTCCAATTGGATATCCAGGACCTCGAGGAGTTAAGGTATACCTGATTAAAGTCTGTCTTTAATAAGATGGAACTGCCCAGTGGTTATCAATCTGACAGGGCTGACTCTGATTCATTTTATTTTCAAACAGGGAGCTGATGGAGTTCGTGGCCTCAAAGGAGCAAAAGGAGAAAAGGTAAAAATTCCACCAACATCACTGTCAGCATTTATTTATTTTCTTTCATTTTATTTGTGTTCATGCTGTGTATCTGCACAGTGAGCCTGAGATACAGGAGGTGAATGGGACAGGAATCCTCCGAATGGCCAGGCCTGACTGGCAAATGCAGTTGTTTATTATTCAGTTGTAGGGCTGGGGGCTGACACTTCTCCTTCTGGATTGCTTGCTTTCTGTGATATGGAACCTTTCCCAGAGAGCCTTCAGGCAGGATCCCCAGCAACTCGGAGGGAGGGAGGAGCAGAAGAACTGATGGATGGATAGAGGGAGGGAGGGAGGGGCGGAAGGACTGATGGATGGAT